TGTCGGCGACTTGAAAAAAAAGCTGTCAGGTGCCGTGGCCTAGGTTTCTCACTGAAAATCCTCGTCACCCGGCGGCACATTTTTTTGAATTTTCTTCCTTTTCAACGCCGTTTTTCGGGGATTTCGGTTTTTCTTTGAATTTTTTCGCAATAATATTCGGAAAATAGATAACTTTTAACACATTTTAATGCAATAAAAATTTTTGGTCGGAGTCCCCCTTTAACTAAATGTCTTTAAAAGTCAAAAACTTTAAATTTTTATTATTTCAGATTCGACCTCTCCCTCTGCTCCAAGAAAATGACTCAAATGGTCAAGGACACGAGAACTCTTGCATCTAGTCATAAAATCCTATTCAAAGCGAGCGCATCTTTAATAGAAGTCAAATTTCTAAATGAGAGAAAATTGTTGTGGTTTGATTTTGGAAGAACTCAGTCAAGGGACCAAATGAAAGACCAGAGAAAAGTGGGAAAAGTCTTTCTTTATTATGTGTGAGTTCGCAGTGAGATTATCAAAAAGCCAAATTATCTCTGTTCTTGTGAGAGATATCAAAAAGTGGCCAACTGGTAAAGTACTTTTGATTTTGTAATATGTTTTTTGTTAGTTATCTATGTTCTATATCTCTCACAGAAACGGAAATAATTTGGCTCCAAGTTGAAAGGGAATTCCGTTAGAGTTCGTATCGTAGTTTATTATCCACCATTTTTCAGTCAAAAAAGTTACTCTGAACCGGGCCCAATGAATACATTTTACGTTTGCTATCCGGATAATGTTCGTGGAATGGCTGAAGTCTCCAAACATCTTGTCAATTTGTTCCCGGGACCAGTTGATTTGGAATTCTCAACATCTTACAACAAAAATATTGCAACTGTTTTTGGATATGAACATTGTCAACAATTGGAAAGTCTTCGAATTTGTGGAGGGGTAATTATGAAAGAGCTCATGAAACAGATATTTGAGGAAATTACGATTCGAAGGAAATTAGTGGTTAAACCGGATATAGATGATGAATATATGATTTTGGAGGTGAGCTACTTTCTTAGCTTTTGTCAACATTTGAGAAAAAAAATTATCAAAAGTTATGAAGGACCATGGTGAAATTAGCTACAGTATGCTGAAATTAGCTACCGGAAAATAAATTCATAGAAAATATTTTAATTTCATCCGTATTTTAATGTTAAATGTTTCCAATTTCAGGCATTGAAAGTGGAAGACTTGCATCTCTCGAATGCTTATTCCTGGACATCAGCACATCTTCTCCAAATGGAATGCCGTTTTGTACTTTTACAAAAACATTACTTCTCTTTAAAACATGTCGAAGCATTTGCCAAACATTGGTTGGAATCTCCCGACTCCAAAATTGAATGGGTTCGATTGGGATGGAGCGATCAGCCGCGGATTTTGAGTTTCGAGAGTTTAAAAACTAAAAAATGGGATAGAAAACAACGAGAGATGATGTATTTGTATAGTTATGAGAATGTTCCGACACGATTGGATTGTTCAAATGGATTCGATATTGATAAGGAGAATGGAGATTTGGCAACTATTGTGATTGCAAGAGGAGAGTTATATTTCTTGGTTTGGAATGAACGATTTCCGGAGAAAAAGAGAATGGAGAAATTGCCGGAGGTTTTAAAACCATACTACAAACAATTAGAAGATTTGGAGAAGGAATACGATGATTCTTGTTCACTGGAACGCCTTCTTGCAAATCCATCGTTGAGAATTGAGGAATTCGTTGAAACTTATAATGTGATACGTGGGATGGATGCAGAAGTTCGATTGTCTTCTGTCGGAAGAACGCAGAGACGACGAATTTTTGATGAAATGTTCCGGAAAATTGATTATCAGGATTATATTAATATGTCTTGAATTTTGCTTTATTGAAAAAAAAAACTGTTTCAATTGACAAAAATGTAAATAAATGTAAAATTATTATCAGGCTTTTTTGCTAAGATATCTTATTGAAAAATTCGATGTATTCTAGTTCAGAACTAATGAAAATCTACTGATACCACAAAGTTTTTGGCCTAGGGTTTCCATTTGGGGGGGGGGGGGCGATTCACCCGCCCAAATGGTAACCCTGTTTTGGCCAAATACACTTGGGTCGAAAAACGCCCCAAATAACTTTTAGACCAGAAGAGATTTAAAGGTGGGGGGACAGGAGATTTTACGGGGGATTTTTGGGGCCAGAGTATGCATTCTACCGTAACGGTGTATTAGGTTGGCGGGAAAGTCTTTGTCACTCTGTTTGTTTAATCACTGTTCTCGTATATGGAGGCTGTGTATGATATCGACTCTAGTGAATAACAAGGTGATAAGAACCTTCCATATAAACAAGTCCCCATCTCCTTCCCTGCTCCTCATCTGTAATTGAAACGATATGTTTGTTCCCACTGCTATTCACATCAGACATGTTTTGATTTACCTCTTCCTATCTCACACCACGATGAAGGATTCGGAAACTTTCTTGAAGAATGTGTACAACACACATGCCCCTCACTACAATACTATTCGCAATTGGTTCCATCGTTTCGAAAAAGATGACTTCTCGCTCGATGAAAAGGATCGCTCTGGGAGACCCCGTGAGTTGGATTTGGACAAGCTGAAGCACGCATTGCAATCGGATCCATTTCAATCTAGCCGTGAACTAGCTGTCACATTCGGAGTTCACCATAGCACAGTCCTTGAAGGTTTGAAGTCTCTTGGAATGAGAAAACTTTTTGGTCGATTCATACCTCATCACCTGACTCAAGCCAACCTTGACCGCCGAGTCGACGATTCGATTACTCTTCTCACTCTCCACGCGGGCGATCGATGGCTGGACCGGCTAATAACCGGAGATGAGAAGTGGGTCTTCTACGATAATCACCACAGGAAATCCCAGTGGGTTGGAGAAGGAGAGAGCCCACAGGATGTCCCCAAACCCGACCTTCATCCGAAAAAAGTTATGCTCTCTGTGTGGTGGGGAGTGGACGGCCCCATCTACTGGGAACTTCTGCCCGAGGGCAAAACAATAACTGGAGACCTCTACACTACTCAACTACGAAACCTCAAGAAAGCAGTCGACCGTTCGGCCCTGAAAGACAAGAAAGTGTACTGTCAACATGATAACGCTCGCCCACATGTTTCGAAACAAGTGAAGCAGGAGCTGATGGGATATGGATGGAATGTTCTCCCTCACCCCCCGTATTCTCCTGATCTTGCTCCTTCCGACTATTGGTTATTTGGCGATATGACACGTGCCTTCGAAGGAAGAAGCTTCAATTCCCGTGGAGCGGTCGAAGCGGCACTCAAACAATACTTTGCCTCACGCCCGGCTGGATTCTACCGCAATGGAATCCATAAATTGAGGGAACGTTGGAGACATGTTGTTGATAATGATGGACAATATAATTAATTATTCGGTTATTTTTTCTTTGAGAAATAAACTATTGAAAAAGTGACAAAGACTTTCCCGCCAACCTAATACAACGGTTAATGTCACTCTGCGTACAGATGTCGCCCTCGCCTTTATGTATGCAATCGGGCAGCGGCTTTCACTTTGCACGCGTAGCTCAGTCGGTAGCGGCGCCGCACCTTCAACACTCGCCTCGACAAGTTAAACTCATCGAGGAGCATATTTAAACGTAATTTCGACAACATTATTTTTCTCATGTCCCCCCACCTTTAATAATTTTTCGTGGATTTTGACGTGGATTTCACCAATTTGTTTTTAATCAAAAAGTTGCAAAGCGTGATTTTTTCACCCAACGTTTAAAAGTTTGATCTTCAGCCGAATAATTCAGCAGCGGATTTTTTTTATAAAATCTCACGTTCGCTGGGGCGCCATTACTGACCCGTTGCCTTGAACCCCAGTGGCAAATAACCATTTTTCTAAATTTGGATTTTTCTGGACATGTTTTTTCCTATCAATCACACGACACGATTTTTGAGGGGCTCTTCTATTAGAGGAGTTCTTTTGAGAAAATATCTCTTTTAATATGTTTTACAGTATTTTTCTGATGTTTCGAGAATAGACCCGTAATAGAAGAACCCTCATACTATGAAGTTTGAGCAAATTTTTTTGCCTTCTATGCGAGATATCAAAAATGTTTAAATTGATAAAATGTTTGTGGCATTCTTATGAACATTTTATCAGTTGACAACTTTTTTATACCTTTGACAGGAACCGAGATATGTTGGTTCAAAGTTACGATAATCCTTTTTTATTTTCTGATCTTAAAGGTTTTTCAGAATCATCCATTAATGTTTTATTTTGTACAAAAAGGGATCATAATAATATAAGTAAAACAAAATAAAAGCTCATTCTTATTTCAAAAAAGCAATACGAGAACAATGGGGCAAAAAGTTGCAGGCACAGCCTTTTCAAGAAATCTAGTGAACGTATGGAAGATTCGAGTTCTTGAGATGCACTTGACATTCGGCATTGAATTCCTTTCCAAGTGCCATCCATGCGGCTTTTTGTTGGTCATTCAATGATCCAGTCGACTCGAGATATCCAGTGAATACGGTGAAGAATGCCATCCAGAGAGCTGGGTCCATTTTGTAGATACGATGACGGTTGATGGTTTCACGCACGTACGCTTTGAAGACTTCTTCGTTGGTGAAGACGTTGGCGATCAGATGGCAAGCGAGGAGAATTCGTTGTCCTTGTTTGTCGAATCTGGAAGTGAAGAAGGGTTAGCGGAGATTTGAAATTTCCGATTTTGTTCACATGTTTCATTTTTTCACAATGCAAAATTCCTACTTTCATTTCAAAAATTAATTGTTTTAAGTTGATGCTAACTTTAGAGCACTACAAAAGTAGGATAGAGCAGACTAATAGTTCTGAAACTTCTCAAATAGGCTAAACAAAAAACGAGCTTCCTTTTTGTCTCGAAAATGTTTTTTTCTTGTCTACTGTAGCTTTCGAGATGAGTGCCTTTAAAGATAGGATACCTATGTGTCTCATTTTCAACAGGCGTAGTTAAGCGAAAAATGCGCGAATTCAAAATTATTTTTTTAAGGTTCCGGAAAAAAAACCCTGTGTATAAAGGCGCATATCTCAAAAACTACGGTAGTTGCAAAAAAGGTGTTAGAGAAAAAAATGAAGCTCTACTTTTCAAAAAATGAATCTAAACTTTTAGAGACCTATTTGTCAAGTTTCAACTCTGTAAACCCTCTAATAGAATGCCATCATATAATTACTCGTTGACCTCAATTATCTTGGTTGTTACAAGAGATATAAAAATTTTGTCAACTGATGAAACATTGATAATATTATTACAAATACTTCATCAGTTGACAACTTTTTGACATCTCTTATAGAAATCGAGATATTTGAGCTCAAAGTGGCTTTACACAACCAACCTTTCACTCTTCTTCACATCCTCAGCGGTAAACTTTTCGGCTCCTTTAAAATAGACACGAAGATCTGGGAAGTTGGTGAAAAAGTATTGATAGAAGCCGTTTCCATTGGCAATGCCCTTATCGGTGGTTCCAACCATTTTCTCCTCGAGAGACTTGACACAAAGGTCTTGGATTTCTTGGCGAGTCATCGACATTGTTCTGGAATATTCACAGCATTAAAGAAGCCTAAGAAAAAAAAAGAGCTTTCGGAAAAAAAAAACATTTCTTCCTCTTCTCTGAATAAGAGTGTAGTATGAGGTCTTCTGCCGAAACCGCGTCGACTTTTGACTACCTCTTAGACTCCGCCCACTCCACCAAGCTCCGCCTCCTTTTTCTTTCCGATCTTTTGGTTTGTCTGGGCTCTCTTCATATCTAACAGTGTCTAGTTTTGGAACAGAAATAGTATTAGAAGGGATGATGGTTTTGGGAGGGTTTGAAGGTCAAATAAACTTGGAGTAAACAACCCGAAAATGCAACCAAATAACGGGAAAATTGTTTTTTTCGAGTGGTTTTGGAGGGGCAAAAAAGGAAATTAGAAGGGAGCGAGATAGTGAGAGACGCAGAGATTGTAGATGCACAAAAAACACTTTTTATCGGTGATGATGTCTATTTTTGAAAATTCTATTGAACTTTTGAATTTAAAACTGATAACAAGAAGAAAAAAAAGGAAAAATTGGAGTCAAGGATTTCTAAGTAAACTGAAACTTCTGGAACTTCCTGTTTTTAACAAGAAAATATTTTTAAAATTCGTAAGAAATTGAAAAAAAAGGTAATCGAAATCATCAAAACTGAATTGACCCCAAATTTTAGCGGTTCGGCATGGAACAAGTAGGTCAAAATAAATGTTGTGGGTCTGAATTTTTTGAACTTTTCAAATGTTCAACAAAATCTCAAATTTTCGGAATCTCGAATTCTCAGAATCTCAGAATCTTATAATTTCAGAATCTCAGATTCTGAAATTACAAGACTTTCAGATTTTCAGAATCTCAGAATCTGAATTTTTGAATTTTTGAATCTCTGAACTTCGAATTCTAAGATTCTCAGATTCTGATTTATCCTCATTCAAACTAACAACTTCCGTGACTGTTGGGTATTTATTTTAAAATTATTTTCTCCGAATTTCCGAAAATGATAAATTGTCACGACACCTTATTAACTTCCTTCTGAACTTTTTTCTCACTTTAACAAAAAAAATTTTATAAACCTGAATTATTTTTATTACTGGCAAACATTGAGCAGAGAAACAGAAAAAAAATCAATTGACAGTAACCAATTGGGATCTAGTCACACATTTATAAATCACATAGATTCCGATTCCCATCGTCGTTGGAATCGCAATATTTGCAAATGCGGGAGAGCTCAAAAACTGGGAAAATGCAGATGGACCCTTTTTGATTGTAACTGGAGCTGGAGCTGCCGCTGGTTGAACTTCTGGAATCTCAGATTCTGGTAGCTGTCCGATGAGATACTCCTTTGCCATTTCCATTGCATCCTTCGAGTGGCCAACATCATCGAATTCGGTTGTTGAATCGAGTCCAGCCAACTGAGTGATCACTTCGGCACCTCCTGGATGTTCTTCGAGGAATTTAGTGACATCATAGACTTTTCCATGGAGAATTATCCAACAAGAATCCTCGTCACTATGTTGAGCAACTTCTTCCGCTGTGATTATTCGAAGATCAGACATTTTTGATAGATTCTGGAAAACAAATTTTGAGGTTATCTATATTTCTCGGGGTTGAAAATCGGGAAAATGAGAAGTAAATTAAGGAACTGAAAAATGAAGGTCCCAAATATTTACGTTTTGAGGTTTTGTGAAATTAAGAAATTTCGCAATTTTAGGAAAAAAAAACAAATATAGGAAACAGGATCTAACTTTAAATATGCAAAAGTTGCATTCTTTTGTTTAAAATTAAAATTTGAGTTTCGAAATTTTATAGTTTTTTTTTCAAATTCCGAATATAACTCTCAAAAATCGTGCATGTTTGGAAACTTTAAGTTCTTTGAAATATTTTTGAATTCCCGCCAAAACTGAAAATTCTATGTCATTTCTAGAAAAATATCAGAAATGACAAACTGAGAATTTTCAGCTTGTGTGGGAAATCAAGAAATTCCAGAACATTCTAGAAGTTTTCAGCAATAGACGACCAAAACTTGAGCCTTGCATAATTTGAGGCTATTTTTTGAAATAACTTTTAGAAATTCGAAAAATCCTGAATATTACCAGGATTTGCAATTTTTAAATTTGAATAAATCTAAAAGAGAGAAGGGTTCCGTAACTTTAAATTTTGAGCCTATTTTTCTCGGTTGCTGTCAAAGGTATAAAAAAGTTGTTGACTGATAAATTGTTTATCATAATATCAGAAGCGTTTCGTCGGTTGACCGTTTTTTATATATTTTATGACGACAACCGGTTATTACTGAATTTGAACGACTCGTGTAAATTTTGATGTTCCAAGATTCGTGAACTTTTTAAATCCAAAAACCTGAAATTCTAGACGATTTTCAGATTGTGTATTTTTCTTCTCCTTTTGTTTCTCCAATGCCGATTAAAAAATCAAGAGATCGTGCTCTAATGTCATTATAAAAAGACGAAAACAAGGTGTAAAAATAGTGTAAATCGGGTGTGAACGTGATTTTCGAAACGTCTATTTCCACACGTGTTTGCCAGGCGGTTGGAAATTGAAAAACGAGGGAGAGAGAATTGGGAAAAAGATGCAATGATAAGATCAGAGAATCACAGGTCATTATGTTACTCTCCACACCGATCAACTACGTTTTGCTTGAGAGAGAAACTAGAGAAATCTCTTATTTTGGGTTGGGCGGTGGCTTAGATTTCTGTGTTGGGTGAATAAAAAAAACATGTTTACTGGGTTTTGCAAAAAGAAAGAAATAATTGGGACAAGATTATTGAGAAAAAAGATAGAGAGAGAATAGGAAAATATGGAGTATATATAATCTCTCCAAGATTATAGGAAAAATAACAAGAAGGTGTTTTTGACAGAAACTTGTGGTTTGATGGCGGGAAAATTTAGTCATGTGGAAAATTTCGGTGACTTGGGAAAATAAATCTATTTCTGGAAACAGATCAAATGAGCAAAAAGCCAAAAAATTTTCAGAAAGTTGCAGCTTTTTCAAGTGGAAATTTATTTGGTTTTTTGAACAAAGGTTAACATTTTTCAATTTTCGCAGTTTGAGTTGGAGGTTCTAAAAATTTTAAAATTGTGAATTCTTCTAAAAAAATGAAAAAAAGCTCAACATTATAAAGAAAAATTGACGATTAATTTGATTTTGGAAGTTTCCGGAGGTTGCGAAATTATCTCATTAAAAAGTTCACAAACTATGTTTTTACCGAAAACAGAAAAAATCGGAAAAATCACGAAGTTTGTCTACATTTCCTAGACAAAAGAACATCGGTCTTCTAGGACCACAAAAATCACAAAACGTGTCATTTTTCACCTATATCATCACTTAAATGATGACAAATATAGTTTGAACACTCTGCGTCTCTCACTTTCCTATTGTCTCTCGTCTCTCGCAACGTCACAGTCTTCAGTACTCTCGGAGAACATTTGAAACGAGACGAGAGTGAGGAGACGCAGACAGCGAGAAAAGTGAATTTTGTAGGCCTACGGCGGAGAGTACGTGCGGTCGTGAGGACACTTTTATTTTTCGATTCAAAAATAATTGGGACACTTTTGAGGGAAAACGAAAGATTGGCACGTCAACAACTGTCTAGGGGAACTTCAGTTGATTTGGACTTTTTTAATGGATGGAAAAAGGAATTAGAGAGAAGAAGACCAAATGATCATAAAGTAGAAGAATGAATGGAGGGGAGGAAGAGCAATTAAAAAAAGATTGTAAAAGAAAAATGCTAAAGAGAATGCAAATTGACGAAACTCACAGGAAATTTGAATTTTGCGAAAATACCGTATTTGCTTCAACTAGAGAATGGTGCATATGGGTCAGAGTCATGGCACATGATCCATATTATTGGGAAGCTGAGAACGCGTTGATAACGAATATGAAATCAGAAACTGCTAATCGGTAGATAGCTCCGTCACCTAGTAAATAGAAACCCATCTTATCACTTTGACGACACTTTGAGCTCAATCATCTCGGTTCCTATGAGAAATATCAAAAATCAGTCAACTAATTAAATATTGGCCATATTATGGTAAGCAATTTACTAGTTGACAGTTTTTTGATACCTTTCACTGGGACCGAGATAGATTAGCTCAAAGTTAAACGTAAGAGGTTTTATTAGAGTGTTCAGGGTAAATTAATTCCAAAGACTCTCAAAAAAAAAGTCCGGGATAGTACTCATGACTTCACATTTTGCTTTGGAATGCTCACAAGCTCACCAAAAGGGTTAATTTTCAAAACTAAACTAAATTTTAAAAAACGTTTTGGTTATATCGAATAGTATGATAAGTATTTAAAAAACTGCAAACTGACTAGAAAATTCAAAATTCTGATTTTCGAATTCCGAATTTTGTAGCAAGATTCGAAAAAACAGGATCCTAAATACATGAACAATAACCAGAAGATTTATTGTAGCTTTTGTTTTTCAATATTTCAAAAAATTGTTTTCTTGATATCCGTATTCCCAAGCCATGTTTCATTAAACACATTACAATAAAATAAAAATAAAACTATCCATAATTATGCTGAAGCTAAATAATCTATGAATAAAACATGTCTAATATAATAGAATTCTAAGTGAGAGCAAAACAAATCTTTTGGACCAGAAACTACCGTAAGACCTGAAAAAGAAGGGTCCCCATTGTCCACTTTGACCAAATTTATCTATATTCTAGTACGAGCTATCAAATAGTGATCAACTAGTAAAATACTTTAGGATTACGGTAACACGTTGTCAGTTGCTCACTTTTCGATATTTTTCACAGTAATAGAGAAAACTTGGATCAAAGTTGGAGAGCCGTTTAAGAGGAGGGAAGGTATTTCAAACTTTTGGCTAATTGTGTATTATTTTTCTATTCCATTATAACATTTTGAACAGTACAATTTACAACTTTAAAGTTTCAATAATTTATTCTTGAGTCTTGAGAACTTTTCTCATTTTCACGAATTCAATTACAAACGAAAATATTAATAAACAGTTAATAATAAATAGTTGAAGTTGTCTGTCATAATTTAAGCTTTTCTGAGGACATAACAAGCGAAAGTGCTGGTCTTGATGAAGCAGTGCTCTCTGTGTTCTCCTTCGATTGGCGAGAGCCCTTGCTCACCGCATGCCACGTAGAATTCTCCACTGACAAGACGAGACTTCACACGTTGAGCAAGCCGTTGCATTGAGGATTCTGGATCTTCGGTGATGGACTGAAAATATCGGGATATAAATAATCAAATAAAACTATACCGTACCTGTCTGATCAACTTCCTGAGTCTAACCGAGTTACAGATTGGTGTGTCATCAGCGGCTCCTCCTTTTGAGAATCTTCTGTTTCTGAATCCAGCTGATCCTCCCTCATACTCCTCTACATCCTCTTGAGCTTCATCATAGTTGGCTCCGTTTGGTGCTCCACCAGCTCCACTGTATCCACCTTGTTGTGCTGCTGGTACAGCGACTGCAGCATCACCTCCTCCCGAGTAGGTTTGTGCTGGTGCTGGAGCTGGGGCAGCCGCCGATGCATCTCCACCTCCTGAGTAGTTGCTGCCTCCTCCAGAAGTTGCTCCAGCGTCACTTCCTCCTCCAGAATAGCCTCCAGCAGATGGAGCTGGCTCTGGGGCGGCAGGTGCTGCGGATTCCGAGCTTCCGGATGATGAATAGTCTCCACCGGATGGTGCGGCTGGTGCGGCTGATTCAGATGATCCGTAGGATGAGGCTGCTGGTGCAGACTCGACTGGTGCAGACTCTGCTGGTGCGGATGATTCACTTCCTCCGTATGATGCTGCTGGAGCGGCTTCTGGAGCTGGTGCGGCAGCCTCTGGTGCTGGCTCTGGGATGGATTCGGATGATGAGGATGATCCAGAGTAGCCTCCAGCTGACGACGATTCTCCTCCGCTAGATGAAGATGAAGATCCAGAATATCCTCCTGAAGACGATGATTCTCCTCCGGTTGAAGTTCCAGCATCTCCTCCTCCAGAATAGCCACCAGAAGAGGAAGAGGAGGAGGTCGCCGATGAATCACTCCCTCCAGAGTATCCCCCTGATGAGGTGGATTCGCTTCCAGTAGATTCAGATCCTCCTGAGTAACCTCCAGAAGATGATGATTCTCCTCCAGTTGATACGGATTCCGATCCTCCGCTGGAGTATCCTCCAGACAAAGATGATTCTCCTCCAGTTGAACTTCCGCTAGAGTATCCTCCAGAGGAAGACGATTCTCCTCCTGTGGATCCTTGGCTCGAGTAGCCTCCAGATGATGATTCTCCTCCAGTTGATGCTCCAGAATATCCTCCACTGCTTGAAGAGGAAGATGATTCTCCTCCAGATGAGTAGCTAGATGCCGATGCTGTATCTCCTCCGCTAGAGTATGAAGTTCCGCCTGAGGAGGATGAGGCTCCTCCGTAAGATGACCCTCCAGAGCTCTGGAATCATAGAAGCGTTAGAGAGAAGCCGAGGGGTTTGGCGCGCTCCTAACCTAAGTATTAGCGGCACTCGGTTATTTCTAACAGGGTCAAATTAGCTTGATTCTAAGCTAAACCACTAGTATGGTACTGTCCATATAGATCCAGTAGAGAACATTTGCATTAGTAACTGAATACGGGTTATCAGTGAACTACACAAACAACTTACCATTACTTCGTTGATATTGATATGGGTAACTTCCAGAAGATTCCAGAACGTTCTACTTGTATCTTTTACTTGTATTTCATTTCGTGCGATGCGTTAGAACACGACGTACACAGGTTCAGAAACATTTATATACAGGACACAGGAGATGGGAAAAAATAAAAAAGATTCGAGAAAAAAAAACTAGGACACTTGGTTCTCTCACTCTCTCGAGATGCACTTTTCTAGAGAGCTTCTCGTCGATCACAACATAACATAATAATGATGGATGGGATGGGTCACATATGTTAAATTATGCCTTGTTGAAGAAGCGCGAGAATCTGAAGCGTTGTGGATAAGAAGAACCACCACTTGCTTGTTCAGAGTATCCTCCGCCGCCGGATGGGGCTGGGGCAGCGACTGGTGCCGGTGGTGGTGGAGGTGGTGGTGGTGGTGGGGCAGCATGGTGCGTATATATCCTCCATCCTCCAGAGCTTCCAGCGTATCC